GGAAAGGTTATGTGGGATAAGCTATTTTGTACAAGTGGGTTTTGAGTTTGGACTTAAAGAGAGAGAAGGAAGAGATGTTTCTTAAATCAGGAGGTAGGGAATTCCAGAGTCGTGGAGCAGAGCAGCTGAAAGCCCTGCTCCCCATGGTTGCAAGACGGGGGGAAGGGATGGACAGTGAAAGGGAAGAAGAAGATCTGAGACAACGAGATGGGGCGGTGATCTTAACCAGGTCAGAGAGATATGGAGGAGAGAGATGATGAATAGCCTTAAATGTGTACAAGAGTATTTTGAAATTGATGCGATATTTGACCGGGAGCCAATGAAGCTGCTGCAGGACAGGAGTGATGTGGTGGGCAGAAGGGGTCCTGGTGATGATATGGGCAGCAGAGTTCTAGACGCGTTGGAGCTTGTGGGTGGATTTTTGAGTAAGACCAAAAAAAAGTGAATTACAATATTCAATCCGGGAAGTAACAAGGCTATGGGCAAGCATGGCAGTGGCATATGGGGTGAGAAAAGGACGGAGACGATTAATGTTGCGCAATTGAAAATATGCAGACCGAGTAATATTATTAATGTGTGAATTGAAAGATAGAGTACTGTCGAGGATGACACCCAAACTTTTCACAGAGGAAGAAACAAAGACCGGTGAGTTATCGATAGCAATGGGGAAACTGTTGGTTCTGGATAATGTTGATTTAGTGCCTACCAAGAGGAGCTCGGATTTATTACTATTGAGTTTGAGAAAATTATAAGAGAACCATGAATTTAGTTCAGCTAAGCAGAGGGTGAACTTTGCCTCTTACCTTTTACGAGATTCAGTCTGAATTAGTGGTAAAGCGATGCATTTTCTTTTTATCTGACTCGTCTGACGTGGGCTTTGTGACCTTTGGCTTAAAAGTCAGATGTGTGATCCAGTTATTCAATTCAGAGTCATGGAAAGGTTGGAGACAGTCCCAGCTGTCACAGGGTAAGATCCAGGTTACACCCTGGACAGATGCAGTCTGTTGCAGGGTTAACACAGAGAGACAGACAGCCATTCACACTCACACCTACAGTCAATCTAGATTGATCTAATTAACCTAATCCCATGCATATCTCCATACGGAGCTCCAAGATTAGAAAAAAATATTTGTTGTGGAATCTTTAGACATAATTAATATTCAGTAATTTCCAAAAGACCAATCTTGATGGTACAACCAAATTATTTCCAGGGTTTTATGTGTCAATATAAGATTAATATAAAACAAGGGCACAAGGACATCGATGCTACCACTTGGATGCATGTCGGAGACGGAATAACTCCGACAACCTGAGTGGATGAGTGAATAATGAGCTGCTTTCCAAATAAAACACCTCTATACAAGTGTGAAGGCTACAGCAGTGTGGAAAAGACAAAAGGAAAAAATATTCAGCTGACCTTTCAGTACAAATCTAAACCCTGTTGTTACAGTGAGCGTGTGAACTTCAAGTACAGACAAGTGAGAAATTAAAAGCAGCACCTGAATGTGGAACACGGAAAACCATCGCAGTTCCAGATGCTTCTGTTGAGAGGTCAAAGGTTTTCATGAGTCCAAGATGATGTGAATCAAATCCCATGGACACCAGCATCAGTTTTGAGCCCAGCTAAGGATCCGTGGGATATCATGTTTCAGCACTGCACTGCATTTATTTGCAAAATATCATCTCATGAAATCACAAATTGAGGCAATATAAGTACAGTAATCTATTTATATTCCTATTCATAATAGAAAAATACTTGAAATTCTGCAATGCATGACAGGAAATAACCTTAAGAATAAGAAGAAAACAAGCAGTTTGACCATATCACTCAGATTTTTGTGCTCTTTAACCTTTATTCTTCCTTAGCTCTTATTGTATGTCGTCTTTATTTGTCTAAATGTATGTTTTGGAAAACATTAGCTTAAACGGTGACTCTAAATTGGCCATGGTTTGAGTGGTTTGAGTGTGAGTGTGAATGGTTTTCTGTCTTTGTGTCACAGACTGTCACAATGTAAATGTCTACATCTCTCACAAGTAAACAGACCTACATCAATAACCACCGCAAAGTTCAGCCATGCCTTCACAAAAGATATGGCTCAACACTACTAACAGAAACATAGCCGAGATTTTTTTAGTCAAAAGACTGAATGAAAATCCACTTAGCTAGTGTCTAACTCTCTTGCATGAATATAAATGTCGTGCATCCCTTGCAGACACCCGACTGCCAGAATTTCCTCACAAGTGGCTGCAGGTGAACTATAGTGTGGGCTCAGCGCTGATACACGACACAGTTCTGTATAATTGCTGGTGTTGTCACAATTGCAGGGCGATCTACCGTCCATAATTACAATAAAACCCTTTTCAATCCCACTTGTTGATTCTGAAAACATCTAAGCAGCTAAAGATTCAGGATCACACACTGGCATGGATGATTTAACTACCATAATTGAACATGAGGTCATAACGATCCTGCTGCACTTACATCAAAATCACGGTGGTTTGCAGAGGTTTTATGCTAATTTGTTGGCTTCAGTGGGAGATGTGCGTGTGAGTGTGTGTGTGTAATGTGCAGCCTGCAGATGGCTGTAGTGGCAGTAGAAAGCTGATTTACTGAGACCCTGTTAAGATATGTCGTTCTGATATAGTAGCTGGGCTGCCACCAGTGAAATGACTGGTTTTTACGGCGTCTCACAGTGATTGAGTGGGTTGCCGTAGTGATAAGTGGGTTGCCCTGGTGATAAGCATTCTGCCGACGGACAGAAGAGGTTGGAAACGGGTGGGGAGAGGATGGGGTTTGATAAGAAATCTGTCCAGTTTTTATCTGCAGTAGTTGTCGACACTCTTCTCTTCTCTTCTCTTCTCTTCTCTTCTCTTCTCTTCTCTTCTCTTCAATGATGTTATTGGACAGGGGACAAAAGTGGCAAGACTCTGATTGAGTCTGATTGGTCATGCTCAGGTCACATCCTGGTCAGCTATGTAGACACACACACACAAACATATATGCACACACACACAGTCACCAGTGTCTTTGCTTTGACAGGGGCTTTAGACTGTGTCCAATCAATTTAGTAGTTGGGCTGCTGAAGACATGCACTAGTAATCAGTGTAACCATCACTGTGTTTGAACTCTGTCTCTTTGTCTGACTGTTTGATTGGGGTGAGTGTGCTTAAATGAAAGCGAGAGAAAGAGAGCGGGAGATTGAATTCGAGCTCTTTCTTTGTGTGTCTCTGTGGTTGCGTGTGTGTGTTTGCCTGCTCTTCTCTTGTTGTCGAGGTTCTTACGTGATTTGTATTTCAACTGAGAAGAAAAAAACTGTTGCCTTAAACAGGCCTTAAATCCTAAGTTTGCTTCCTTTCCTACCACTTCCTGTCCTGTCCTCTCGCCATCTCTAAACCTTACGTTCTCCTCACTCTTCTCTCCTCCTTTCTGTCCCCTTGCTATATGCAGAGGTTCCCACGGCAATGTTAACCCCATCCAATTTGACCAAAATGGAGGGTGAGAATATGGAGCTGTTGTGTACAACCTCTGGTGTCCCATCTCCTGAGCTGTTCTGGGATATGATACGTGTCGGCAACTATGAGGTTAGGAGACACACAGACACACACAGACACACAGACACACACACTTAAGAGATTTCCCTTTACATTTTAGGTTTATAGTTTACTGTTATTTTACAGTGTACCAGCACTGCTGTCCTACTGTTACAGAAATTATGATATTGTGCTCTATGAGCTTTACATTTCAGCATTTCAGTATTCAGACCATTTGTTGCTATGATACTGTTATTTTAATGTTCCTACTCTGATTTCCAATAAATGGCTTATTACCATTAATTATAACTGCATTTTGGTTGCTTGTGTGTGTTGAAGAACAGGTTTCACGAAAATGTAAAGACAGACTCTAGCCAGGCATTTTTGCCCACATGGCTGCCCATTACTAGCTATCTCACAAGTGTACAACAATCAAAGCCTTACATGTAAAAGATTGTAGTAGCTTGCAGCTAGAATTTCTTCCCCCAAAGACAAAAGCATGTACACTGATTGATCCCCTGCTGAATTTGTAAGCTTGCTCACTTACAAAGAAATGAACAGTCTCTAATCTTTCTGTTAGTTTCATTTTAATGGAGAGAGACAGAATATCAAAACAAAACAAATTACTAAAAAAGTTTGACAGGATTTGCATGTCCATGAGGGAAATAAGTATTTGATTTCCCCACAACCCAAGAAGAATCTGGCTACCACAGACTGGCTGTGTCATTATAAAAACAATTAGCAATTTAGAGTATATTACTGTCAACACATATTTTTCCCTCTTGTTTAAAGTGCTATGAATGACATAACCCAGCGTTTCTAGTGTTTTATGCACATATCATGAACATTTAACAGCTTGAGCGTTATCGAGGTCCACTCTGATTTAAAAGTTAATTTTTACTTAATGTGGCTCTTGGACCTCTTAACATTACGATCTGACGTTGAAGACGTTGTCTTCTAATAAGCAATCAGTTTTTGTTTGTGCGGCTGCTCTTTTCTCATGCAGATAGCGACATCAGGCCAGACTTCCAAGCTGCAACTGTTTAACCTGTCTTCCACGGATCACAACAGCAAGATCAGCTGCACAGCTGAAAACATTGTAGGAGACAAAGAGTCCTCCGTGGTGCTGAATATACTATGTAAGTTTATCCTCTGGCAAACTGCCCCAATTTAGTGAAGATTAATTTGTTAAAGCATCCCTCGATGCAGCGTAGTCTTTAAATCAGAGAATTAAAAGCTTGAGAAGACAACGGTTCTTCTCATCTTTTAATCTGTGTTCTGGCACGCTTCGCTAGTTTTTACCTTTGCCTTATCTTAGTTCTGTGTCTTCTGTTTGAATTTCACACTGTTGCTCTTAAACTCTCTTTTCTCTCCGCTGCAATCAGTTCCTCCCAAAATCACAAAGCTGAGTGACGCAATTCCAGATCATCATTGGTGTATTCCCTTCAGCGTGACAGGTACGAGAGATGTCCACATGATCGTATTTAGTCATATTCTGATGTTTGATTTCTGTGATTTCAGAAGTTCCCAACACAAAAGACTTTCCCCAAGTCACACCAGTACCTGAGTAAATAGGGCAATGACATATTTTTAAATAATGAAAACTAGTTAACGTCAATGGTTCTTTTGTATTGTTTTCACTACCTCTCTTTAGGAAACCCTAAGCCAACTTTCAAGTGGTCACAGAATGGTAAGCCAGTGAAGGAGGGGGAGTACATCTTCACCAGGATCCATGACTACGCTGAGAGAGAGTACCATGGCTGCTTGCAGTTGGACAGCCCTACACACATCAACAATGGGCGTTACAAACTAGAGGTTGCAAACCCCTATGGCACAGACGAAAAAGAAGTTGATGCTCATTTCATGCTCATGCCGTCCGATGGTAAGATACAGCATTATTGGATGTTTTATTTTCTGTTTCTACACCACTATCATCCCGATGTCTGATCTAGTTATTAAAAAATTATCAGCAAGTTCATTTTTACTATTTTTTTCAAGAACATATGATATACCACTTCTTTTTTAACTAAATTATTAATTGAGGAAAAATATTCTTCATAATTAATAATCACAAGAACTAGACTATGCAATTTCTGGAGAAACAGTAGAGTGATTAATGCTACTGCTGGACTCGCTATGTTGTTAAGAAATTGAAGCTAAGTAGACTGCCCCAAAATACTTTTGATAGTTGAAACTCTGACACCTGAAACCATTCTGATAAATTCATGTCTAGCTAAGTTTTATTTTAAATATATTATTTATTTATAAACATCCTGTTAATTTTGTAATTTTACTTTGAAAATTTCACATTATTAAAGCAACAATTGGAGGCTCTGATTTCGATGAACTCTGATGAATTCTTTTGAAAATCAGACCGAATAGCTTTCTGTATTTAATTAATGGCTTTTATGTTGAAAGATCTACATGTTTTAAAGCTTATTGGTCTTCCATTAACAAGCTGAAGGATTTTGTTTTGAAAATCTTACAGCAACACAGTCCCTGTTGTTAGCTGCTGGTGCAGTTTTTGGACTGTTTTGTGTTTTCCATGTGTGCATATGAGAAAGAGGCAGACAGGAGAAGCTTTGACTCTGAGTAACACCGTAACATATGTAAAGCCATGACTCCGTATCTGTATGGCTATGGAGACAAACAGTCAGGAACACTGACAGACAAATAAATAAATTGTATGTAAATTTATTGAGCGGCCCCAAAAGTTATATATATATATTTTTCTTTTTGTTTTACTTTTTTGTCCCTTTGCACCATAAATGGGATTTTTTTCCTTTACGACAATCCCACCAAATACTGCATTATGGCATTTTTAAGTACTGTATTTGAAGCAACATCCAAACTTTTCTAGTCTGTTTAGCCCATGCTGAATATTTTTACTTTGATCATTTTATAGCCCTTTAATCTCAAGGCAAAACCTAAGAAATCGCCCCTTTTACAGTTATTTTTGCCGTTACAGATACTTTTTAATTCTTTCCTATCTTTGTACAATTACAATCAAATATTTCTGTTTAGTATATAGGAAATGCATTTAATTATTACCACAAATAGACTCTTTCATATACTTCTCAGTCACCATCCTGATTCATCATGACTCTGTTTCACACTTTAAATATTGCTGCAGACTGTGTATATTTTGCCATCTGGGTTATGCTCATTGATTTATAATGAGGGGTAGTTGCTGGCATGAAATCAGATAAAGGAATGGCAAACTGGCAGTGTTCTGTTTTAAATCTGCCTTTATTGATAGCAAAGGTGGAGCTGCTGAAAGAAAAAAAATCTTGCTGATGCTTTTATGTTATACTAGACTATATATGTACAGGTATAGCTACATACAGTGAAATAGTTTGTGTTGATGCACAAAGTTGGTTGGTTTATACAAATGTCATCAATGTAAATGTTCTTTTTTTTTTGCAGCAACAGATCCGGAGCCTTACTATTATGGTAAGTGAGTATGTTTTGTCTTTTTTAAGAGCAAAATTCTTAAAAGAGGCACATCTAGTTTCCGTTTACAGGCACTGTTTTTAGATGTTTAACATCAGCATTGTGCAGGGGTTAAAGTGGGATTTGGCAGGTGGGGGTACTGCAGTGAGGGAACAACTATATTCTACAATATGTAGACCCACATTATATTTGCCACTATGGCTGCTTTCCAACCCCCAGCCAGTAGAAAGCTGCAATTTGGCAACTGTTACTAATAAACACGAAAAGCTTAAATAAGCTTAAATTAAAATCAGTGACATTGTCTACTTAGCAGCCGCGCACAGATTTACTGTTATTTTGAAGCATTATCTAAATTATCTTTCATTTCAAACATCAACAGGACATAAAAACTTACAGGCACGTACAAAATATTTAGTAAAATCTGATACAGATCACTTCAAAGTTTGCATTCGACCACTATCTAAATATCTTTTAAATTTCAATTCAGAATTAAAGGGCTTATCTCTCTTTTATAATGTTTCTGGAGATACGAGGACCCACCGAGCATTGAGCCAGGACACCACAGTCTGCACTTTACAACTCCAACATAGTTCATCACTGACCCACAATACAGACTGCACGTGTATAGACTTTGGATAACATGAATTAATATCAATTAATTTGCTTTCAAAAACATTTTATGATGTGAAACATCCAGACAACTTTAGAAACATGTCATATAGCAATCCAATCTGATTACCAAGCTGTAAACTGAACTAGAACATTACGTGTAAGCTTGAAATTTCTACCTTTATTAGAGCATTTTTCTCTCAAGTCTTCCCTCTGTTCTCCATCTCACAGAGTAAAATGATCATGCATTAGCATTTTTTCTTCCCTGGGAAACGCAGTCATTCTGCCCTCAGCTAGCAGACAAATTATGTGTCAAACTGCAAAGAAACTGTTTTCATGTCATACATATTGAGCTGTTTGAAATGCTGAATTTTCAAGTACTCTCCACTTCAAAAAAGTTACTCCGATTATGCTCACCGCACTTCTGTAGCACTAGCTAGATGAAGCATCTCAAACACAGCTTTGCATCTGAACTGTGGTGACTTAACTGTCTCTGCAGCCCATAAAGACTGAAATCACTTAAAAATATTGTGTATTAAATTGCCAACCTGATTTAATTACTCATTAACTGAAAGTGCCGGAAAGTTCAGGCTCACTTTTACAACTGGTGTCGTCAAAAAACACAAATTACATTTCAGCAATCTTACTCTCATGAACTCTTTTGTTTTTCTTAAGATGTTGAGGGGTTACGTACGCGTACAACCCTGCAGCTAGAACATGTGCATGTTTAGCATGTGCTGTTTGCATGTCGTGTTTGTGTAATGACTAATGAAACAAGCTCAGAAAACAGAGTGCTTGTCTTACAGTTGAAATGTGTCTGAGAACTAATTTGTTTCTGTCTGTGTCTTTCTCCAATACGCCCTCCAACCAGCAGATCAAACCACAGGTACAGCCATATCTTTTAGTTGCTCACTCTTATCCACAAGTAACACAGACAATGAATTATTTAGTTTTGTTTTCTATTTTTGCACATCTGCCACTAGATTTGAAAGACAAAAAAAAGCATCCATCAGTTTGTGATATACGCTCAGGTAGCATGTTAATGAGGCTAACTTTACGTCTACAAGTTGTTGAGTTTGTATAAAGTCAGTAATTAAGTAAAACGCCAGATGCTTTGGTTGCTTGGACAAGCAATTTGAGCTTAATTGTTTGTAATGTTAAGGTAATTTTCTCTATTTCAACAAAAAAAAAAAAGGCTTTGAGGAAGAGGTCAGATCAATATGACCGGAGTAAACCACCTTGGATGATGAGGCTGTGAAGTTCTCTTAATCTAACCTCATGAAAATCTGACCTCTTGCTGGAGCAGCTTCCACATGGTGGGATACTTCTGTATAATGATACTCTTGGTGTGCTTTTTGAAAAGCATAGATGAGTTTACATACCTGAGGTCAACCATCAACCCTCCAGTCGGTGGAGAATAATGTCAGGGATGATTCCTGACAGAAGGATAGCAGAAAGAGTGAATGGGAAGTTTCACAAGATGTTAGTGAGACCTTCTGTGATGTACGGTTTGGAGACTCTGGCACTGACAAAAAAGACAGAAGGTTGACCTGGAGGCGCCAAAGTTAAAGATGTTAAGATTTTCATGGGGAGTGACCAGAATAGACATGAAAATAAATGGTTTAGACATGTGTAGAGGAGATATAGAGGATATATTGGACAAAAGATGTTGAAGATGGAGCCCCCAGGAAGGAGGAAGACCTCATGTAATGAAGAAGCACATGTGGAGGGTTGGTGTGACAGAAGAGGATGGTAAGGGCTAGGATGAGATGGAGGCAGATCATCTGGTGTAGCAACCTCTAAAGTGAGAAGCCGAAAAAAGAAGAAAATATAATATTTTAGCTTATTTCGTTAGAAACAGATAAACAATTTTATGCTTCAGATGAACAGTAAATTTTATTGTATCAGTTGAAACCATATCTTTGTTTGACAGTGAGTAAAAAACACTCCTTTACTTGTCCTTAAATCACATCTTGAGTTTCTCCTCTCTGATTTCTCTCTCTCTCTCTTGCATCAATAGACACCCCTCCTCTGAATCAACGCGAGGACAGAGTCGCTGTAAGTCACTTCTATTTTCCTGCAGCTCTACGGTTTTGCTGTTTGCCACTGCAAGTTATTTATGGTTTGTGCCTGTTTCTCTTTCATTTATTTGTGTTTCCTGTCTAGAAACACCTGAGCTGGCTCTATTTTTATGTAATGCGTAATTGAATGAACCCAACACATTGAAGATAAAGCAGTCCTTAAGAAAATCTGCCTTTCTTGAGCAGTGATATAAACACAGCCTGTGGCCTATACCTTTTGTTGTGGTGGGTTTGGCATTTGGCTTTGTGTAGCTGTCAGTGTGTTTGCTCACCTCTCCAGGAGATTTATAACCCCGGTTTCTCATTGTACAGGTGTACGTGGTGGGGGGCATCGCTGGTGTAGCCTTCGTTGGTTTCCTTGTAATGTCGATTATTCTCAAGTTTGGAGGAAACTCCAAGTTTGGCATCAAAGGTAAGACTTCTTGCTCTAATCTTGAGTTGTGGTATCTGAGCTCTGTGGGAGAATGAACCGGTGATTTTAGTTTGACGTGGACGGCTTCATGGATACATGAAAACATTAAAGCCTGTTATTAATTGGAGGGAGAGAAACTATGTTATGTGGTCAAAGATATTTTCACTGTATGAATTAACCATATATATATATATATATATATATATATATATATATATATATATATATATATACTTATATATATATATATATATATATATACACACACATATATGATAGGATAGGATAGGGTTAGGAACACCAAGCCTTAATACTAAAAGTAGGCCAAAGTGCTGGACTGGATAATTTGAAGTTTAGATGTAGATTAGGTGCAGTACTGTTACCCCACAGTAAGAAGGTCGAGTGTTTAAATCCACCCGCCGGCTGGAACCGGAGTTTCAGTGCTCTCCCAATGCCTATGGGGTACTACAGTTTCCTCCCACAGTCCAAAGACATGCATGTTAACTGGTGAGCCTAAATTTGCCATAGTGAGTGACTGCACAGCTAAACTCTGCTATATGTTGGCTGTTTGGCTGGCTGGTGATTTCTTCAAAGTTTACCCAACCTTTTGCTCTGTCACAGCTGAGTAAGACTCCAGATTCCTTGTAACCTTGTAATATGTGGATGTATCGAACATTAATATGCCAACATCAAAAGCATACGGGCCAAACAGTGTTCGTCACTGACCACTAAAGACTTGATTTGTGGTTTCACTTTTGAGGAGGCAAAATATACAGAAATCTGAGTTAAAGGCAGGATGATGTCAAATTAAAGCAATCAGAACTTGAAAGTCTTTGATCATCATGATCCTAATTTAATATGCAGGCCCTCATGTATCCACGAATTCACCCGGTTCGGATGGAAGCAGCTGCTGTTGTGATTAAGTTTCTCTGGGTCTCAGTTCTGGTGCATAACATGCATGTGGACTAAAATGAACTGTAGTCTTTGTCATGTTGATGTGAAATTGATTTGGTACTGTAGCCACTGTTGAAGCCTCCACACACACATGCTTGCACACACGCCGTCTATCTTTTATGCCACATAGTTTTCCTCTTGTTTGAAACAACTGCTTCTGCATTGGCTACAAGTGTCACTAATCTGTTTCCCTCATCTGGTATTTACTATTCTGACTTACTACAGCAGATTTGTCTTTTCTCATTTTTATGCTTCGCTCAGATTTTGTCCTCCTTCTTGTAAACTAACAATAATCACTGAACCACGGTCCTTCCATTTTTCACATCGTACATACAGAAATGGTCATGCTTCTTTTTAATGCTCACATATTCCGTGTGTAGCAATAAAACTACAGGTGAACACATTAATCTTTAATTTTGAAATGAGACCTTTCACTCTTTCATTCAGTTTGGTTGATAAAATAAATACGCAAAATTTACATTCAGAGCAGACGGACCATGAACTCCTCGTCTTGAGGAAGTAGTTTTTTGCTTTTTAAAGATTTTTGTTTTTAGGAATAAAATGTTTCTTGGCACCGCTTGAGCCATCACCGATATTTCACATTCAAATTAGTGAATCAAAAAGTGAATGCAAATGTAGTCACAGTGTTACTCGATGTGCATTGCCAAGTGTGTGCGCCTTTATGTGTGTGACTCTCAGTTGCACTGTAGAAGTGCAGTATTTTGACAGTGATTGATTTATGGGCCCCCGGAGAAGGAAGGATGTGGGACAGAAGGAGCAAAAGGATACACATTGTGTTTGTGCGTGTGTGATTTCTTAGATGTCTTAGTATCATATATACAGTATATATTTGTGTGTGTGTGTGAACATCTAAGCATTTTTGCATCCTGTGCAGGAGGTTAGGTCACATTACAGTTTTGCCCTCTGATTGCTTCCCTTGACTCTTCATCTTCCTTCCTTTCAACCCTTCCACCTTCCTCTTTCTGTTCACATTCCCCACACATGTAGAAATACAGATGCATGTGCCCAGCAGCAAGTTTACGCTGCAGTAAGTTTATGGAGAGAGAAATTTGGAGAGGCCTGCATCAGTATGAACAACAGATCTAGACAGGGGGTTCAACAGCTGCGAGTAATCCACAGCAGTACTGAGCACACTGAAATTAATCTCAACAAGAGAAACACAACTGCTGATGGCAGCTCCTCACCAGTCCTAATCTAAAACAAAACTATTTTGTCATTGCAAAATAACTAAATCACCCCCACATGATGATGGCGAACTTGTGATCAGAAAGTGTAAAGAGTGCGTGTCAGGCCTTGTACCATATTGAGCAGGTGTGCAGTGAAAAATCGTCACTCGCCTCACTGAGCTGAGGATGATTTGCTGACCGCCTCTTTTTGATAGCTGAGTAAAAAGCTGTGGCTGGTTTACATTATTTATGCCGACTGCATTATTCTGCTCCTCTCTCATCAATAACACATGGACAACGTTTGGTACAGGTTTCCTTGCATGATCTCTTCGCTGCTTCTTGACACTAGAAGGATGATTTCATTTAGTGTGTATAGTAGTTTGTTTTCTCGTGTTGGCACAAAGGAGTAGGTAATATTTAATGTAAAGTCTGCAGTAGGTTCACATGTGTGCATGCATCAGCAGCGGTGACATGTTGCAGTGTTTACTGTTGTAATCTGATCGAGCCCGTCTTCGTGTTGGGGATAATTTATTATCCAATGGTAATTTGCTTGTTTTAGCTTTGGAGACACTCATGTGGAGCCTGCTGCTGTATGAAAGCTATATGTAATAATCTGAAAGCGTCAGACTTAGCTTTGTCCTCATAATGTTTTATTAAAAAACAGGCTGCATTTAAGGCTTTATGATTTTTATTGGTCACTGCTGATGCTGACATATGGAAAAAATGCAGACTACGTCCTGAGTGCAGAAACATGCATAGCAGAAGCCTAATGATTGGGGTTGGCTTGAAACTTGAAAGCGATAGGCTGGAAAATAATTGATATGTGTTAGGATTTTCATTATTATATGAGGAAAAGGTGACAAAAATAAAGATCATATCTTATGATACAAACAACATAACAGTCATAAAGCTGTATTTGTGAATGCATGTGTGTGTGAGTACAAATATATAAATTACCTGTAAAAACAAGAAACTGAACTGTTTTAGAAATGAGACTAAAGCTTGTTTAAAACTAAAATATTTTTTTTTTTTTTTTGAGGCAAATAACAAACTGCAATTCACATTTTTTAATCAAAACTTGAACCAGCACAATGGACTAATCAGAGAATCACAAACATACATAACATTCAGTCACTAAAACAAAATTTTCTCTTCAAGAATGCAAGTAAATAACTATAATTTAGCATCTTAATAATAAAAAAAAAAAGCTTTTCTATTTTTTCTGCTTTTTTGCAAAACAGTAAATCTGAAAACTCATGGATAACAACAATAATTATATTTTAACAGATTAATTTTTTTTACCGGTGGATTAACCATTACAGAAACATTTTTTTAAAAATGACTTTGGTAAGTAACAAATCTTTCAAAAGACAACTTTTTAAGGTTGTGTGGTAGTGCTGTACCTCTGTTTACACTAGTGGTGTGCGGATCGATATTGAAATGTATCCATTCCTCCGATACCAGTTATTTATGTTCTAGAATAGATTCTCATATTAAAATATCAATATTTTAGTAATTTGGGGTAAATTTGTAGTTTATCATTAACAGGAACACAGTGAAAATAAACTATATCATTGAGATCGTCTAAATTGGAACTACTTCCTCTTCCGCCTTTCATAGTCATATGCGAAATACGGCTGTATAAATGTGTGGCAGCCCTTTGGCGTGCACACTCACAATAATGGCTGAGCGTAAACTGAGTCATATGTGGACGTATTTTACCTCCACAAACAGCCAAGACGCGATACATGTTGCAAGACCACTAACCTCGTCAAACACCTCAGAGTAAATCATATCAGAGAATATGATGAGTTTATGTTGAGGCGAACCAAAAAGGGAGGAGAGGAGAGGGACAGGCGCTGCTAGGGCGAGACAGACGTGTCTCGCGGAGTCCTTTAGTGTTGCAGGCAGGCACTATCCAGGTACAGAGGAGGAAAATGCTGGGTACATAGGCTAGGTCTCATTAACAGTCTTGGGGAGTAACGGAATACATGTACCGGCGTTATGTATTTAAAGTACAAAGTATGAGTAACTGTATTCCGTTACAGTTACCATTTAAAAATTTGGTAATCAGAATACAGTTACTTTGTTGAAATGAATGGATTATATGGCGGTCTTTTCCTGTTTCACATGTTAGGCTATGCCCTCTCTATTTTTGGTAATTCCGTGTCGTTGGAAACCCAAACAAAACACGCAATAGGAGCATACTTGCCAACCTTGAGACCTCAGAATTAGGGAGATATTCAAAAGGGCTGTTGGGGGGGGGGGGGTGTGGTATAAGTGAGCGACTGTGAAATTGGACGGTCAGAATTACGTCACGAGCTCTCGGTGGAGTGAAACTCTGCCGTCTGCTCCTTGCTATCTAAAATATAACCGGACGCTGGCGTAATTTCTCAACCATCTCACATTTCTGTTTAATCAGTTTTCTGTTTGACGTTTATTCAGTTGTATGAAGACCTCCTAAGGGATTAATAAAGTTTCATTTAATCTAATCTAATCTAATAACTTTAATCTCAGCCAAACCAATTTACTTACAAACAAATAAAACACTGAAAAAAGCCAAACAATTACATTTTTAAGGTATCCGAGTGACTTATATATCATGTTTAACCTGAGTAGCGAAAGACCGCGCGGGTCTGAAAACGATGAAGCCGGAGGTTCGCTGTTCTCACTGGCTCGAGTGACCATTGAACCCCGCGGCTAGCTATCGAGCCAGTGTTGCCAACTTAGCGACAAATCTGGCGACTTTTTCTGGTATTATTGGAGACTTATTTATGACGATTTTTTGATGTGAAAACTCGTATCGCTCGTACTCTCAACAAGCAGCGGTGCTGCCGTGGGCACCTCACCCGTGCCAAA